CTGATAGAGACTGGAGAAACCCCAAGAGTATGGCCCCTGGAGATCCTTTTAACTCAATAGTAAAGTCACCCCCAAGGTTCACCCTTCATCCAAAGAGTAGACAGATCTATAGGGCAATCCTATAGATCCACACACATGAGGAATGTGCTTAGTATTTCAATCATGTGTACTAGGCTAAATGGGCACATCATCTCAAAAGCAAAGACAAGAAGGCAGTAAGGGACAGGGAAACTGGATACAGGGAAACTGAGGTAGAGAAGGGGAGAGTGTCGACATACTGCATGGTTGGCAACCAATGTCACAAAACAATTTGTGTATTAACTGTTTAATGAGAAACTAATTTGCCCTGTGAACGTTCATCTAAAGCACAATTTAAACAAAAGAAAACAAAACCCCAATGCCCAGAAGCCATGCTAGGTGGAACCTAGTCAATCACTATTTTCTTAAAACTCCCCATGTGATTCCAGTGGGCAGCCCAGTTTCAGAACCAGTAGACTAGATGACCTTTGACCTCTAAATGTCAGTGGCTCGCATCTTGAAGAAGATCTCAGTGACTCAAATCCCATGATAAACAGCTTCTGTTCATCATACACACAGAAAGGCAATTTTAGGCAAAATTAAATAATGAAAACAGTTAGTCTAAGAGACTTAAAAAATATCCAATTAAATCACAATAATTAATTCTTTGGTTCATTAGTTTTCATTCGTAATGGACAGTATAATGAGAGCAGAAATTAGTTGTGAAACATAGAAGAGTTATCCTCAGCTTAAAGCAAAATCTAGTAACTTGAGAGATTCAGTAAGTAACTTCAAGATAATACAGCTTGAGACCTACGTGATCTTACCAGGTTCCCCCTTTCTCTGCTTTTGAAAATACTAATGAATAATAATTTGTCATGGATTGAATTGTGTCCCCCAAAAAATGTGTGTAGCACCTTGGCTGGTTCATGATTCCCAGTATTGTATGATTGTGTTATCTGATGTGATTTCCTTATGTGTTGTAAACTCTACCACTATGATGAGATTATATGTGATCTCCTCATGTGTTGTA